TTAGGTTTTCTTGCTGTCCTTGTAAAACATGTCCTTCTGTGAAAAAATACCAGAATGTAAGTAAAGCCCGAAAGGCACCTCTGCTTTGCAAGGTTTCATTTGTGGGACACTGTGACAGGTTATGGATAAGTATGGTGATGGAAAAAAAAAAAACTACGTGGAATATTTCATTTTGGAAAACAGGTTTGGAGGGTTTCCACTTGTGACATGTTTTCTCAATTTACTCATATTCTTCTGTTAATCTGTTTTATGAGCATCAGGAGGGTAGAAAACACCCTTTGAAATATTATTAAGTCCAGACAGATTGGAAGGTCAGTGAATTGCTGCATAGATATAAATATGCCATCTCTCTTCCATATAACATATGACAGTTATGTCATGAAAAGGTTGATTTCATCTGCCTATTGGCTACTTTAATCATATATAATGAGTGTTGTCTAAAGAGAAGGAAATTTCAACCCCAACAAAGGCAGGGTATTAAGCTCAATAAATGTATGTCTAGAAATGGAAGAAACTAAATTAATTGTAACCTTTATTTCTCTGAATTTGTACAATTAAAGGTTGAGAAATCACTTATTAGAAATATTGCTTAGAATATTCATGACTTGAATAAAGATTTGGGCCAGATAGCCTGATCTAACCCTTCCATCTTGGGGCTCTACAGAAATATGTAAAACATTTATCACAAGGCTTTGATCCTTTCTAGCCTGTCCACCTCAATTTTCACCATTTCCTTCTACTCTCTATCTCTCTAAATCACTCTAAATCAGTCACCAATGACTGATGAAAAATAGTAATGTCCAAATTTGATATTACCAATGGCTTTGTGTAGTGGGTTAAGATGGTAGGAATGTTTCTATATCATGAATCTTTTCCTTCAGCCTTGGCATTGAAATACCTAAACATAGTAATGACGTACGATGGTAGGTTTGGATATACATGTAATACAATGAACAGACAGATACCTAATGGTGATCAGTTGTATAACTACACTTGTTAAAATAGAGCAGTAATAACGCTCAATGAGGCAGAATATGGGAGGTCCTGTGTTGAAACCAGAGGCAGTGACTTTTAACTTTCCTGAGTATCTCTCTCTAGAAACATGTTATGAACTAGGCACCCAATGCAACTTTAAATTACCATGGTATTTAACAAGACTCTTCTTCTCTAGAAATGAGTCCCGTCTCATCACCCCCCATAATAAAAAGCCTCATGCTAGTTTATTTATAAGACACTTTTCAGTTGTCACATTTTTTTCTATATATCTATGAGTCTACTGACATGTAAACCTATTCCCACTATTGGATACACAGTATTTTAAAACAAATACAAAAATGATGAGTGGCTTCATTTTTTTTTTAGATGAGGATGAAGTCTCACTGTCTCCTAGGCTGTAGGGCAGTGGTGCAATCTTGCTTGTTTCCAGCAATTTTGCAATGCAATGACCTACCACATCACTTTCTATTGGCACCAATATTAATAATGACCAAGTGCCTAGTTGATATAAACAAGATAAATTACTCCCCATATAGCAAAACTTATTTCTTCCTTCTATCTTCAGTCACTGCTGGGATCCTCCTGCCCTGCTTGAGAAGTGACATGAGTGATCTTTGAGAGTCTATGGGACCTTAATTTTGTGAATTTTCAGATATCACTTTAACATAAACACATTACAATATTCTGTAAGAGTATTTAAGAAAATTATCTTTTAAGACAGATCTGTTTTATCGCACGTTACTAAAAAATCTATTATGTGCAATTTCTATGGATACAATCAAACAATGTCTATAAAACTGTAATTTTACTTAATAGCTCTAGGTATCAGGTGCTACATCATATAATGAGATTGTACGAGACAACTCAGGACATACGTGACAATATATGAAACATACGATAATATGTGATGATAATTAGATAATTATAAAACACTTGACTTGGCAAGGCGGCAAAAATTGACTTTAAGATCAAATCTTTTATATTTACAGGCCATTTTTAAAAACATATTTCAGTGTAACGCTGGGATATGATAAATTATGTATGCATAATTTTAGTCATAGCAGACTTCTTGTGATATGAAGAATTGTATGTAAATGAAATGGCCATTAATAGAGGATTGATCAAATAAATTAATGTACATAAATAGAAGTGAATGCATTGTCCTCTAATCATATTGCTTATTTATATATAAAATGTGTTATTCTAACATCATTTTTGTTTAAAAAGCAGAAATCCAATACCATAGACAACAGAACCTGCTTATCCTTATGCAATGTGATTATGCCTACTTTTGCTTTTTTTACTAATATCTTTATTTTTCAGTGTATTGCAGGAGTGTTGTTTGTACATTTGTGTGTTTGAGGGGGGTATTTGTTTTTTATAATGTGCAATTAAAAGAAAATACCTGTGTAGAGATTAATGAACTGGAAATGATCAATACTGGTTGACTAGAGTCATTTCACTATTGCTTTTTAAATATAATATTGAGCATAAGCTACATAGAAACAAAAGGAATACTTTAAATGGTCTGTATTTTTTTCTCAATCATTACCCTACCTATATAAAAGACCAATTGTTAAACCACATTTTTTTTTTTTTCTTGAGATGGAGTCTCGCTCTGTCGCCCAGGCTGGAGTGCAGTGGCACAATCTCGGCTCACTGCAAGCTCTGCCTCCCGGGTTCACGCCATTCTCCTGCCTCAGCCTCCCAAGTAGCTGGGACTACAGGCGCCCCACCATGCCCAGCTAATTTTTTGTATTTTTAGTAGAGATGGGGTTTCACCGTGTTAGCCAGGATAGTCTTGATCTCCTAACCTCGTGATCCGCCCACCTCGGCCTCCCAAAGTGCTGGGATAACAGGTGTGAGTCACTGCCCCTAGCCAAACCACATTCTATTTGTCACTTATTCCTGTGAGAGGAAGTGTCCAATACCCAAGAGTCATACACAGAGCTACTTATACAGTCCAGGTAGGTCAGGAGACAATACTGAACCCTTGTGCAGTAAAGAAGGTTTACTTCTTCTTTACTGCTGCCTCCAGTAAAGAAATCAGAGCTTACGGATCAGGTACTAATTTTTTTGTTATTTTTCTGGTTTACTTTTTATATTTCTTTAGTTCTTTCATTATTTTCCAATAAAAGTATCATATAAAACTAAATGAGACTGTAAAACAATGTGAATACTTATTTTAATCACTTTAAGTATTATTTCAAATATATATATATACACACACACATACACAGCTGGCAAGGAATGGGATAAAATGCTAGCGTTGGCTACAGAGATGTTCAGACATTATTAGCATTTCAGTATCTTATCTGTACATTTATATATATTTAAATGTTATATTGTAAAGAAAATCATCATTTTTAAAGATGTGTCTACAAGGGCAGCTTTTTAAATAAATTTAGACTGAAATATTAGAGACCTGCATGTTGATCACTAGACCATTTTTCAGATGTCATCCTTTTTCTGTTTTTCATCTACCTCCAAGTCTACTTTTATTCTATCTCACCGAACAGACAGAGACATGTATGATATTACACAAGCTATAATTTGTTTAGGTGAAATGTTACAATGGGACCAATAATTAAATTGGCCCCCCAAAGACAGCCAATTATTTTTAAGTCTAGCAGGTTTCAGAAGTATAGAAGAGAGGAGTCAAAGAAAACAAACAAAAATTTGTTACAACTTCTTGGTAATTGGGGTGGGGAACATAGTTTAGAAATGAATTTGTCTGAGGTTAGGAGACTGTGGACATTCTTGCACATCTGATCTATTGGTGAATGGATAATGTGGATTCTACTTGATCAGAGAAGAGGGACCCATATGGTAAACCATAGTCTCTTTTTTTTTTTTTTTGAGACGGAGTCTCACTGTGTTGCCCAGGCTGGAGTGTAGAGGCCGGATCTCAGCTCACTGCAAGCTCGGCCTCCCGGGTTTACGCCATTCTCCTGCCTCAGCCTCCCGAGTAGCTGAGACTACAGGCGCCCGCCACCTCGCCCGGCTAGTTTTTTATATTTTTTAGTAGAGACGGGGTTTCACCATGTTAGCCAGGATGGTCTCGATCTCATGACCTCGTGATCCACCCGTCTCGGCGTCCCAAAGTGCTGGGATTACAGGCTTGAGCCATCGCGCCCGGCCCATAGTCTCTTTCTTACACCTCTGTCATCAGTGCTGCAGCAGGCCTGCAGTTAGTTTCAAAGTGTTCTTTATAATCTCCTCTGAGCAACAGCAGCTTTCAGAGGAGAACATAGTTAGCTCTGGCATATTCCTGTCTGTCAACTCTAGCTTACTGATCATGGAGACCCTTCTACTCACTTCTCATGCAACCATCACCCTTCCTACTCCAGTGGTTTGTGAACTACAGACTGTCTCCATCCCAGTGACAATAGGATGCAGGTTTGGTTATTAACGCTGGATAGGACCTGGGGGGTTATTGGGAAAGTGGAGGAATGTTATATGTAAGAACCTGTCATTGCTCTGCCTGCTCCATATTTTTGGATGATGAGAGAAACATACGGGATACACTCATTACCTGCACCTATCACTTAACTTTGCTTGTCTGTTATGAGATATCACAACATTTCTACAAAACTAACAGCAAAAGCAACAACAATAATCTTGTCATTAGATGTGAGTTATCTGGTTGAACTAATTACAGGAACTATCACCTTGAACTCTGAGGACATCAATTTCCTAGTCTGTAAAAGAGAAGTAAAAAAATCACCATAAATAAATAACACATAGGTTTTCATGAAATTAACATGATTTAATTTAAATGAAAGTGTACTACAGCCTCTGTACAGTGCCATACAAATGTATGAGATATTACCGTGATCATTTTGTTGGTTTTCACTAAATTGGGTATTTTCTAGTAGATTGTTTATATCTTTATTTTTAATCACTGAAAAAAGACCATCAGTTTGACTATTAATATAGTAAGATAACGTTAACCCTTCACTTCCGTTTTCTTCTTTCAAACCAGGGATTTCCAGCTCTGAATGATGACCCTTAAGAACTGCACTGTGTTTACTGACTTTGTATTCTTAGGACTTTCAGGTACACAGGGTATGCAGCAGGGTCTCTTCGTGCTTTTCTTCCTGATTTATGGCGTAACTGTGATTGCCAATCTAGGGATGATCTTTTTGATCAAGATGGATCTCAGACTTCACACACCCATGTACTATTTCCTGAGCAATTTGTCATTCTGTGATGTCTGCTACTCTTCCACTGTCTCTCCCAAGATGCTGGCTGATTTCTTATCGGACCAAAAGTGGATTCCATATAATTTATGTGCCGTTCAGATGTATTTATTTGGAGTCTTTGCAGATGTGGAATGTCTCATGTTGGCTGTCATGGCTTATGATCGTTATGTTGCCATCTGCAATCCACTTCTTTATACGATCACTATGTCCAGGAGTATCTGCACCCAGCTAGTGGCTCTTGCCTATGTTGTAGGTTTGGTGGATTCTGCAATCCACACCTGCTGTACATTCGGGTTGTCATTCTGCAATTCTAATGTTATCAATCACTTTTTCTGTGACATCCCACCATTGCTAGCCCTCTCCTACTCGGACACATTCATTAATGAGATAGTGATGTTCACATTCATCGGCTGTATTGTGGGGTGCAGCATTGTCACTGTCTTCCTCTCCTACAGCTACATCATAATTACCATCCTTAAAATGAGCTCACCTGAGGGCAGACAGAAAGCCTTTTCTACCTGCACCTCCCACTTGATGGCTGTGGCTGTATTTCATGGCACACTCCTGTTCATGTATTTCCGACCCAGTTCAAGTTACTCAATGGAAACAGACAAAATGGCCTCTGTTTTCTACACAGTTGTCATACCTATGTTAAATCCTCTGATCTACAGCTTAAGGAATAGGGATGTGAAAGGTGCTCTGAAAAAAGCAATGAACACTAAATTATGTTCTGTATGAAACTGTAATTTCCATTCAAAAATAATAAGTTCATGTATTAAAGTTCATGTATTTTGGCATAGGTTTCTGTAGTCTCACCCAAGCAGCCTTCAAGGTATTTTTAATTTCTTACCATTGTGCTTAAATTGTGTGTAGAGGGGGTGGGAATTATTGGTCTTAGTCTTCCTTCTAAACCAATGAGGAGTAGAAATAGAGTCCTTTTGTTGTTTTGCAGAGAAGGTCCTTTCGTATTTCCCCACTCTGTTCGTGACTATGCCCCAGTGAACTGTTGTAGGTTATAGTGAACCCTCTTCCCGCACCAATTCAACAGACCCTCCCTAAATTTCCAATTCCATAAAAAATGTGCTGAATAAATACAGTGGCTCATTAAAAGGGACTTTTAGAGAATCAAACTTAGTCTGGTTTGTGTCCTTCCTAGGTACAAGTATCACCCTGTAAATGTCTAGCATATACTTATAAGTAAATAAGTAGTAAACAAATAAATAAAAATAAATAAGAAATCTCTCACCCTAGACATGAAATTCCATGAAGGTAATGTCCTTTCCTATCTTGTTCACCATGATTTCTACTTTGTTATTTTTAATGTTCGACTGCAGGATCCCATTTATAAACAGCTATTCAATAAACAATGTTCCTCACAAAATTTATGGAAAAAGGAGACTTTGTAAATTTACCAGAAAAAGAAGTCACTTTCATTTCATTCTAGTATATTCACCTTGGATGAAATCCATCTATACCTCTTGTCTTTTGGCCTAGGTTTGAAATAAGTTGTCAGAAACAGAGATCATCTGATGTACTGAACAGTTTTTCTCAGATACTGTGTTCCTCATTATACCAGCAGACATCCCCAGGATCGTCAAGCCCAGACTTTTATTACACCTCATAGTCTCAGCACCAGGACTTCCCTCCTGCCCTTACTCTGGGGAACAGACATGCTACTTTTGACAACCTACAGGACTGCACAACTGAAGTGATAGATCTGGACCTTCTCCAAAGGTCACTGGAAAAGCAGCCTCAATCTCCCTGCATGAGTTTATAGCATTATACTATGTTAATGGTACTATGTTTCATGGAAATGTATACGTGCACATGTTTTAACTCACATGAGCCATGTGAGTTAAAATTTCAAAACTGAAATGCCCAACTGATATAGGTTAAGTTGTAAAGTACGTTCAATGGAAAAAACCCACAAATGACAAGTCATATTTACATTAGTATATCATTTATAATAACTTACATTGCTTCTTTGCATATTTATGAAATAAACTAGAATCCTATTCTAAACAAAATATTAATAGTGGTAATCTCTAAGTGATTGGCTATTAGGTAATCCTACAATATGTTTCAATAATGTAATTAATGGCATATATTGGTCTCACTGAAATCATTTAGAAATTAACCAAGTTATGAAAAACAACACGATTTTTGATTCTAATGATTATTTGTTTTATTTTAAATTTTGTCGTGAAGGAAACACAAAGGCACACATCTCTGGTGCTAGGAGGACAAGGTAATGAATTATACAGGGTTTCATTTAGGCCTTCTTCCATATTGCATACATCATTTTAGTTATAAATTGCCCTGAGTGTTACATGCTTCAAAGCATCATAAGAGTGAAAGAATTAATTAAAAACATAAAACTTTTAGCAGAATTTTTTTTTGCATTACTAATTGAACAGAATTTTAAAACAAAAATATTTTACTGTCTCTGAAATGTTTCCTCTGTAATTTTGAATAGCATATTGATTGATCATAGAATATATCACTTATCAGGACCTTTTCATCACTTTGCAAACCAAACTCAATGTACTTTTTAAAAAACATATTAATTATATTCATATCTATGAAAAACTAAACACACTTGGGTCAGGCATGGTGATCCATGGTGGCTCCCAGCACTTTGGGAGGCTGAGGCAGGCAGATCCCTTGAGCTCAGGAGTTTGAAACCAGCCTGCGTAAATAGTGAGAGCCTCTCTCCACAAATACAAAAAAAAAAAAATTAGGCAACTAATGACTGAAGCAAGTGATTTAGTATCTCTTAGCTACGGTCATTCCTAGCATCACTTTGGAATAATTAAAATAACTTACTCTTAAGATGTGACCGTCATAAGTGTTTATGATAATAAATTAATTGATATATTAACATACCCTCCAAACAGAACTTCTAGAAAAAGATAAGAGAATGAATTCAGGCCATTGAAAATTCCTCCTCAGTACTAATAGAATGAATTTAAAATATTGAAAGTTAGCACATTTAATCAACAGTGCTACACAAGAAAAATAGTTGAGCCGGGTACAGTGGCTCATGCCTGTAATCCCAGCACTTTGGGAGGCTGAGGCAGGCAGATCACTTGAGCTTGGGAGTTCAAGACCAGCCTGGGCAACATAGCAAAACCCCATCTCTACAAAAAAAAATAACTAAAAATTTATCTGGGTGTGGTGGTGTGTGCCTGTGGCCCCAGCTACTCAGGAGGCTGAGGCGGGATGATCGCTTGAGCCTGGGAGGTCAAGGCTGCAGTGAGCTGAGATTGCATCACTGCATTACAGCTTGGGTGACACAGTGAGTACCTGTCTCAAAACAAAACAAAAACACCTAAAATACTCATTTTATATAAAATGGGCTTCGCCGTCCATTTTTCACATATATATGTAAGACAAAAGGATACTCCTTATTTTTTTACCTTTTCCATTAAAGACGCCAATTTAATTGTCTTCATGCATTACCAAGACTGTATGTAGTCTTGGTTTGATTTGTTGTTTGTTTTTATTGATTATTTTATTTCATTTTAAAAATTGATAAATATAGGAGAAAATTTAAGATAAGAATTTGTACTTCAAGTGTGGCTGACAAGGGTTCACATCTGTATGTGAACTATCAGTCACTCTCAGTTACATGTTAGCTGTGTGACCTTAGTTTACTTAACATTGTTAGGTCTCAGTTTTCTCATTTCTTTAGCATGTGTTTAATATGGGCATTATAAGATTAAAGCTACAAATCTTTGTCTCTAAGTATAAATGTAGATTATATTATGTCAGCGTTTATGTGTGTTATATGTTATATATAACACATATGTTATATGTTATGTTATATATAACATGTGTTATATGTTATATATTCATATATGTTGTATGTTATATATACACATATATACACACATATATAAACTTCCTTGATTAATCTCAGGGATTAGATATATATCAAGGATATTTATCTGTCTATCTATCTATCTGTCTATCTCCCTAACGTTGGTCAAGGGAGTTTCTAAGAACATACTTGGCCTGCTCTCAGGTACTAACCTCCTAGTACTGAAAGAAAGGATGGAATTGTTCAAGCATCTTGTTACGAAACAGTCTGCAGGCACCATCTTCTTCTGTCCGCTTTACAGCCTGCTCACCCAGTTGGTCACACTACAGTTACCAATCCTAGTGTCGGGTCATATTTCTAGCTGGCTGCCAGCTACCTTAGGGCTTCTTTCTTCCGATCCTGGCTAGAGCTGAGTAGAGGTTTCTTCATGGCTACCCGTGCCGGCTGCACCATTCCCATGTTTAGGTCAGAAGACTGAAACTATACTATTGATTTAAGTCCCAGACCCCACAATCCCAAGAAGTCAGTTTAGATAATTAATCTCAGAGTACCTCATTTTGTGTTATGCTGTGAAACTTTATCCAAAGGGCTGTGGCTGACATGCCACGTGTAGATACAAAGGAATCAGTATCTATTCATTGTGATGAACCCATGCACTTAAAACATTTCCTATTCAGTGTTTAGGATGAAGCACATGGTTCTTACTAATTTCAGGATGCTATTCCAGTCTTCACGATTGAAAGCGCACATTGGCCAGAGTTCTACCTCACCAGTGTTCTGTATAAACAAATCCCTTCTTGTTTTAAAAATCCATCCCGCTGCAGCGCATGAAACTCTGTTCTAGATTTACAACCCAGCAAACACTTTCACTGTCAGAGGCTTTCCTCTCTAGTTTATCCCTCTATCCCACTGTTCATCCTAACTGTTGAGTTTAACACTGTTTTCACACTTTCCAGCCATAACTTCCATCTAGATTATACCCCAGTAGTCAACTAACTTCTCTCCCACCATCTGTAGGCTCTGGCTCTCGTCCCTAGCTCTGAGAGAATAGCTTACCTCAGAAATTTTAGCTGTTTGCTTGCCAATCAAGAGATTTCAGACTCAACATATTCTAGAGAAAAACTTTCATGAACCAAGTTTTAATTTATTCAATGTTCAAAAACTGTCTTTTAAAAAACCATCACACTTAAAAATATCTTGTGATAATCACAGCACCACTCCAGAGAATGAAATAAAAATATTGCAAGAAACATAAATGGTTTCTTCACATTGGAGGCATGTGATCTAAACTTAAAAAAAATCAATATTACACACATTTATTTCATAAAAATTCACTCAGAATCTACAGTGGGGAAGAAACTATGATAAAGAGGCAAGGTATCAAATAATGAATGAGAATTAATGAATAATTTTGATAGAGGGATAGAACACAGGCACGAAAACTACACAGTAAGATAGAAAATAATGAGTCTTAAAAAGAGAAGCATATCAAATGTCCTAGTGAGAATTAGAATACAAATTCTCATCTGAAATTGAAGAGAGATTAAGAAAACAAAATTGCCTATGGATTAATATATAAGGAAGGCTTTTTAGATTGAGGAGGATTTAAACAGCTAAGATACAGTGTGCCTATATTTACATGAATATCAAAATTAACTGATAAACAGTCCCAGTGAACTTCATTTATTTTCTGTCATGGGAAAATAATTATACTATGCCAATTGTTTATTCATTATTGGGAATAATTGAGATAAAAGTGTAGCCGGTCTTTTTCCTTAGTTCAGCTGAGAGCTTATCACACAACCATGAAAAATTAGGCTTGCAGGCGATTTGAAGGGTGAGAATAATAGAATTTATTGGGCAAAAAGGAAAAAAGGCGGAATAGGGACTCTCTGTAAAGCCAGAGTTCCTGCTG